GGACAATTAGTTGTCGAGTCAAATTATACAAGAGTAATTGTTCCGAGAAAACTCATTAACTTTAGATAAATTTTGGAAGTTGAATTAATAAAAGAATATTGTTCTGTCTCTAGCGTACTTTTCCGTAGTCGACTACACCGCGTTAGATAATAGATAAAAACATTAATCTGTCTAATTTTGCGAAAGCGTATCTAAATACACTTAGAGAATCTCACTTAGGTCGGATTCCTCGCTGCGGTAGACTATAAAGCGCTAACATTATTAAGTTTGTAAATTTCATTTATATAAAGTTAGAAACCGAATCACACTTAGGTAGGATTCATTATAAATTACAAACGTGTTAATCAAGTAAAATCTTGTCATGGCGATAGCTTCGAACACGAGAATCGAATATATATAAAGAATATCAAATTTAGTTAATATTATAAAAGCGAAGTTACCTTTATCAGAGATCAGACTTAGGTACGGTCCAATATAAAGTATTAACCAGCGAGTTACATTTTGTTAAATTCACAATTATCTATTACGTGCTGTTTAATTTGTCAAATTCTATTATTTCTATTATTATTATTATATCAAGATCTATTTAATTCTTTATTCTAGTTAATCACTTATAATCTATATACTTTTCTTTATTTTGTTGTTATTGTTATTTGTTAGTTTCATTTCTTATCGTTTTATTGAATAAATCTAATTGTTGAAAGATATTGACCTGTCGATTTCACTCCTTAACCGCACACCACACGAATCCCACGATCTTTATTTGCGAAATCGAGTCGTTTAGGGGTAAAAGCCGCTCTTTACCGTTCTAGCGCTTGTAACTATCTGAACTTAGGTTCCAGAGTCGTTACACAGTTTCCGATACAAGTTCATTCCTTCCTAGAATTCTGTCTTGTCCCGTGTAAATTTTAAATCGGTAACAATACCTAGAATTGGATTCGCATAATTTATGAAATTTAATTCCAAATCTCGCTCGTTTAGATGCTATGAATTGTACATAATTTAGTCGCTCTCTGAATTTCATTAGGGATTCATCAATGACGATATTTTCTTCCGGAATGTATAACTGTTGGAATTTGGTATTCAAGTAATCCATCACAGGTCGAACCTTTCGTATTCTGTCTTCATTAGAAACTATCTCATTATCCACAAAATGAAGATAGTGCGTTATGGCCAAAAAATGTTTACGAGGCACAGTTTGAGAAAATATGGGTGTTTCTAATATTTTTAGTTTCGACCAATACATATCTATTTTAAATTTTTTTATCTGCGACATTATAGTGCATAACGCAAAATATGCTGTAACTTCATCATTTGTTAGTGGAAACCACTCCTCGCTCATTTTTGTTTTCTCTTTCATTTTCATTTGTGCTGCATATTTATTCGTTTCTCTAACTACCATTTCAAAAAAATCATCACATAAATCTTCATTGAAAACACAGAGGTGTTGTATTTAATCTTCGTAGGACTACACAATTGATACCGGCAACTTCAGTAAATTGTTTTATATTGACAATATTTTCTTTTTCTTCCCAATTCCATTCATCCTCTTCTACATCAGAATAATCACTGCTTGACCCACCCACCCACCGGTGGGTCATGCTTGATTGTTTCGTGAGGCGGCATACATCACCGATGGACCATGCTCGTATATCAGAAAATACCTAGTACAAAATACGTAGTACAATAGTCTCCTTTCAGCCCGATACATTTAGTTCAGCGATATTCTAACATTTTCAAGCCATCCAAAAAATATGATTTGTCGAACTCCGCAAAATAGGCCTCTGTTTCGGCAAGAATTTCCTTGTCTGACGAGAATCGCTTTCCGCTAAGCCATTTTTTCATGTTTGGAAACAAAAAGAAATCGCATGGGGCCAAATCTGGGGAATAGGGTGGGTGAGGCAGCAATTCGTAGCGTAATTCCACCAGTTTTGCTGTGACGATTGCGGACGAGTGAGTAAATGCGTTATCATGGTGAAAAAGCACTTTTTTTTCGTCAAGTGGGACCGTTTTCCTATCAATTTACCATTGACTCGATCCAATAAATCCATAGTACTGCCCTGTAATTGTACTTCCTTTCTCCAAATAATCGTCGAAGATGATGCCTCGCGAATCCCAAAAAACGGTGGCCATGACTTTTCCAGCCGATGGAACCGTTCTTGCCTTCTTTGAAGTAGTTTTGCCGGGCAAAATCCACTGTTTTGTCTGTTCTTTCATTTCTGGCTTGTAGTGATGGGTCCATATGTTATCAATAGTCACGAGACGCCGTGCAAACTCTTTCGGATTGCGCTTAAACATGGCCAAACAGTGCTCCGAAGTTATCATGTTATTCCGTTTTTGAATTCTCCTCCAGCGTGAATAATTATATATTGATGAGAAGAGCTGGTATTTTTTAAAACACCTAACATGTTTTTACATTGCTAGCACTTTCCAAAGCATAGAGAATTGTCGACCCATGTTTCGTCGACATATACAATATTTTTGTTTTGTCTTTTATAATAGTCGATAGCCTTTAAATATTTTCCCTTCCACGTAACAATATTTGGCCTTTCTATTAGTATCTTACGAATATTATTACGTTTCCTCTAATTGTAGTCCATGCTCTTCAACAATTTATGTAGATTGTGTAATTCCCATGGAAAATCTATCTCTTCTTTTATTGCTGCTAGTAGCATGGGCTCACTTGGTACAACCTTTTTTTCAGTATAAAAACTGTAAATATTGGGAGTACAAATTAGTTCGGTCCGTTTTTTTGAAGTCAAATATGCATTTATTTCAAAACAAAATGATTGAACAGGTTAAGCAAGGTATTGTCCATCGTTGGCTACCACTTTTTCCCATCTCTCAGGCAATTTTTGAAAAAATCTCGAAAAAATGTCTTGTCTTTTGAGGAGATCCATGTTTGGAGTCAATTTTCGATTTCTGTGAAGGAAGTGAATCTGTGACCTGCCAAATTGTGTTGCATCCAGTAATCAGAAGGAGCAATGTCCGGCAAATACGGCAGGTGCAGTAAAATACCCCACTTCAGCGTTTCAAAATAGGTTCTCACGACTTTTGCGACGTGAAGTCAAGCATTGTCATGAAAAAGAATAACTGAGTCATGTCTTTGCTCGTATTCCGGCCGTTTTTCTCGTAATGCACGGCTCAAATGAATTAATTGCAGTATTAATTGCAGCCTATACCTATCGCCCGTAATGGAATCGCCAGGTTGTAGCAACTCATAGTATATAACACCCTTTTGGTACCACCAGATATAGAGCATGGCCTTCAAACTATGAATATTTGGCTTCGGTGTTGATGTTGTTGTCGATAATAATGATTGACCAGGCATAGCGTAGTATTTTTTCTTCTTAGGGTTATCATAGAATATCCATTTTTCATCTCCAGTAACAATCCGATGTAAAAACCCCTTTCTTTGTTGCCTTTGTGTCATCTGCTCGCAAGCGATAAATCGCCTTTCAACGTCTTTTGGCTTCAGTTCATGAGGCACCCAATTACCTTACTTTTGAATAATTCCTATGGACTTTAATCGTACGGAAACTGCTTGTTGACACTCTGATTTTGCAAGCTCCTCTTGCGTTTGACTAGGATCTTCATTGAGTAATGTCTCGAAATCTGAAGAGAGCTGATTGTGTTGTGTGTTTTAAAATCCTGCTAGAAAATAAATTTATCAAAAATAAGGGGGATCGTAATTTGTAGTGGTTAATCTACATAATTTTCGCAATAGTGAAATTTTATAAAAAAGTGTTTAAAACATAAATGTTTTTTGTACCAAGAACATTTAAATGCTACCACATCCTCACAACAATTGCATATTATAGTATCTAATTTTGTACAACAAAACACAACTGAATTTTCGAATTCCTCCGGTCGGTTATCTGTACAGCCAGGACGATATCAAGAATATTGAAATAAATGTTTATACCGTGGTGCTGATAATTGGTTGTGGATTATTGATTGCAATTTCAAGACGTTGTCCCTTGCATATAAATTAATATTAATCTGTAGAGTAATTGCTGTGTCAGAAATTTTTCGAGCGAAGTTTTTCTAAATTACGAAATTCGTATACATCCAGTGGTTGAACGAGAGGTGTAGTGTTTTTTGGGATTTGCAGCACTTCCAATTGTTTTCCATCTGATGTTCTGTTTTCGATAATTTCTTTATCATAGCCATTCCATCAATCTAAAAGTAAAATTGTATTTTGTGGAACGTGTGGAAAAAATATTGATGTTATCCAGGTCTCAAATAACTCCTTCGTCAATTTTCCTGATTTAGAAGCTTCAACATGTATGTATATTGAGTGCCCTAAAAATGTTTTTCCTTACACGTGGTCCCAACTGCCTCCATTTACTTTCTTTAATACTATAAAAAGAGGTGACAATAATTGACTGTCGGCAGAAATTGTTAGTTGGATTGTATAACTATGGGTGGTTGCTGTCATTGACTGTATTAAAACACCTGTTTCGTTTTCCCCCTGATGCGATAATGTTCTGCCAGAGTGCATTTCAAATTGAAAACTACTCTGGTCAATATTAAGAATGTTACTTGCCCCGTGACTTTCAAAATACTGCCGTGCGTGTGTTACAAAATTTTCTTCTGATCTATTGATATCATTTAAATTATAACTATAATGCCGCGTAATAAGTTTCGTTGTTTTTCGGGATACTATATTATATGAATGTTTAAATTTCCATAACCAATATGAGGATGCTTGAAAACCTTCTAACTTAATTGTTTGATTTGCAATTAGTGCCCACCGTCGCAAATCAATGTCGTGAATGATCATTTTTTGTTGCCTCATTTTGATAAACTTTTGCAGTGTTTGGATTGCAACTGCATTTAGCTTATCTAAACAAGAGTCACCCTATTAACTTGTTCCTTCCATTTGTACAATTTTGAGCACAACTTTAATTTTTTATAAGTTTTTTGTACGGTGTGGAAACTTAATGATTTCCTTTTTCCACTTTTCCAAAATGCTACAGCTTTTCTTTTATATTCTAAATCAACACCCGTACATTCTTTGTTATCGGGACTGTCGTCTGGCGAACTTGATGATTCTTCTTTTGTTAATTTTGATGTTGAAGCTTCGACCTCATTCTCAAACACAACTGGTGAGATTTGCTCGTCAGTTAAATCATCAAATATTAATTCTTGCTGTGTCTCTATATCAGTAAATACTGATTCTTTGGTCCTATCGATTGGATCTATAATATGCTTCGCTATTTCAATTTCTTTTCTGTTTGTGGGTGTTTCCTTCTTCTTATCGTAACTATACGATTCCATCAAAATGTTTATAATATTAACTGGATTGATATTCATATTTGTAGAAATCAGTCTGAAAATAACTGTTATAATTAATAAATATATAGGATAGATTTATGGGACAGACAATATAAGTAATAGAGTGTGTTTCTCTGTAAACAATCTATCCAACATGGAGAAATTTCGTGTTTCAAGGAATAGATGAATTCGATTGAGGAAGAGGGTAAATAAAAATTGTTTAGTCGTAATTGAGCCTTAAAAATCATGATAGTTTATTGGCTCTAGTGATTCGAATTAGGGGAAAAAGCCTTGCGGCATAAAAAACCCCTTACAAAAATATGTTTAGTCGTAATTGAAGGGTAAATAAAAATTGTTTAGTCGTAATTGAGCCTTAAAAATCATGATAGTTTATTGGCTCTAGTGATTCGAATTAGGGGAAAAAGCCTTGCGGCATAAAAAACCCCTTACAAAAATATGTATTCGTTAACGATTTTACGGTGAAAATGTGTACGAGTATGTATACGTTATGTGTATGGTTGAGTTGATTGTGGATCGATTTGAGGAGAATAAGGTCTCGCTCAATGTGAGATGATTCACGATGATCGATTCGAGGGTCTAGGACTCACTCGAATAATGTTGCAATGTACAATTAACCACCCTACCGTGGTCTGTTCGAGGGTATAGGACTCGCCCGAACAGTATGTGAACAGTGTACAGTGTATGATTTAACCACCCTACCGTGGCCCACTCGAGGAGTGCAGGGTCTCGCTCGAATGGTGTTGTGAATGATTTCCGAACCACCCTGCATTGGTTATACTACGTTGCGTTACGCGGAAACTTCTAACTCACGATTGACTTTTTCGACTCTCGATCCGAACCGTGCAAGCTTCAACGTTCGACTGCCCCTTTCTTTGTACGAAGAATCGCCTAAATACCCTCGTGTTTCCGAAAGTAACGATTAGGAAAAACTCTATGCTTTCGTTCGTTAAAACTGTTTAAAACGAGAGGTACAGCTGTTAGCTGATTTATGGTACGCACGTGTTTACAGTAAGAATGGTTCGGACAAGATTTGAGAGACAAAGGGTCCTCGGTGACCCGTATCTCGAGGTATGAACTGCTCACGGCGGTCCGCGCGCCGAACCACTCGAACCCTGTTGTAAATTCCTTAACCACTTGCGGTGACAAGAAATTCACTGACGCGTGTACCAGAACGGTTCAGTGTAACTCGCTGGGAGACGTCACGCAGTGTTCGATGCCTCAGAGAAATCGGAAAAAGATTTATTTCCATTTGTTTTAACTTCACTTTTGCTTTCCATTTTAGAATATGGGTTAAATATTG